CCGGCAAGCTCCGCTAGCCCCGGGTGCAGCGAGCGTGGCGGGGCCAAAGCCGCTCCTGACGGCAGCGAGGCAGAGTTGCACTGCATTATCCATTCTATTAATAATAAAAGAGTCAATTTTCTCAGCCCTTTAACTTTTAAAGAGTTCCTGCTTCATTTAGATTGAATTTGCGGCGACAGGCAAGCTCAGGAGGGATTGTGCACCCCTGCAACAACGCAGAGGCCCCAGCGTCCCTTTTATTTTGCAAGATGAAGACAAGGAGCAGCATGAACTCGAGACTCGGCTTAACAGGGGAGCACGAGCCCCAGGTTTGGGAGCAGAGCCTGGGTAAGCATGGAGCTGAGCAGCAGGTAGAGGATTCGGGGCTGGGTTTTGGGATTTGCAGAAGTTTCCTGAACCGCGTTCTCTTCTGCAAACCCGCACCCAAGGCAGGGTCCTTTTCATCCAAACGCTCTGGACTGGAGAGGATGAGGGGATCAGACCGGGGAAAGGCGATCCCACTTGCAGGCATCCGAGCTCCTGGACTTGGAGGAAACTTCTCCAAAAATCTCCAGTTAGCAACTGCTCTTCCCTGGGCTGGCCCAAATCCAGAAGCAAATGGGGCGGCTGCAGCCCATCTGCTCACCTCCCTGCACCCTGCCAAAGTGTCGCGCAATGGACTTGCCTCTCTCGACGTCGGCTTCCCCCGGAAGAATTCGTGGTTAAGGGAGCTGTGCGGAGGGTTGAAACGAGCCTGCAGGAAGACGCAGCCGTTGGCGATCGCCTCCAGCGGGGCAGGACCTTCGTAGGGGAACCCAAACCCAATGAAGAGCTGCAGGAAGCAAACCGACATGCTGATGAGCCAACCTTGCCCGGATCTCTGGCAGCCCAGGGCTAAGCCCATGGGAAACTCTCCGAATAACGCTCTGGTGTCCCTCTCTGCTGCGTTGGTGCCTGTCCACCAAGCCTTTAAAGGCAGCTCCACACAGTCCAACTCCCCATGGCTTAAATGAATTAAAAACTTTCCCCAGAGTCAGACAGATGCTCCTAGCCCACTCATAAAATACAACGGGACGGTCAAGCTAGCGGGAGCTGTGACTTTGCTCGTGGTGGCTTGGCCAGTTATACTGGTCCTGTATGCACAGACACTGGTTCACCAGTGAGATTCGGCCTAAAAGCCCTAAGAGGCTGGTGAATCAAGGTTATTTCATGCAGACCTTGGCTCGTGGTGACCCAGGGTGCACTTGCACCCCTCACGCTCGCTCTGATAGTCCCGTTTCTTATCATCGCTGCTGAGGCAAAAAAAAAAAAAAACCAACACTTAGCAAATGAATTAATCAAGAAACTTTGTGCTCTGTCTGTGGACAGCGTGCAAGGAGGAGAAACTCATCAGACACATCTTGATTTGAAATTATGTGCTTTGCTCAGCTCCCGAGTAATTAGCCCTGCTGATAGTGCCTGCAAGCCACGGCAGGCTGCGGGAACGGCAGCTAACGGATTCCCCCCCCGCCCCTCGCTTTAATTAGATTTCCTTTCTCAAGGTAACTTGGTCCTAGCTCCTCGTCTCCAGGCTGTTTAACGAGGGACTGGCGCTGGGCTCTGCCCCAGGGTCCCACGGGGGCCGCCGGCTCTCGCCCACCTTCGCCTTCCTCAGCAGCTGCTGAAACTCGTGCTGCGGCAGAAGGCCGTGGTTCTTCACGAAGGCCGGCACCTCCGGAGGCCTCTGCGTCTCGTAGTAAACCGTGCCGTGGATCTCCATGTACTTGTTGAGGATGGCCAGGAATTTCTCTTTGCCCTGGGGAGGAAGGCAGAGGCGTTCAGCTGCCCGCGGATCACCCCAGGGGATGGGTCGGATTCCCCCCCAGCCCCGCCGCAGTCCAGCGCTGAGGTTTA